GAGGGCGGGGTACGGTCTTGTTTTAGTCGACGACGCTGGCCAAGAACGGTGCACGATTGATGCCCCCGTGTATGCTCCGTTCCTTCAGACTCCCCAATGCGGAGAGTTCGCGGCCCTGGCCAGAGCGGGGATAGAAATCACGGGCCCGCCGTCTGTTTTTAGTGACTGCAGAAATGTGGTGGACCTTGCCCTTGCCCCGAGGGAGTTGCAGGTTTCCTATCAGAGGCCCTGCGCTGGCTTCATGATGCTTTTTAACCTCGGGGCCCCGTTGTTCAGTGCTGCTTCGAAGGTGAATGCTCACCTCGACCCTCGCGAAGAGGGAATTGAGCCAGATGAGAGGTGGCGCCGTTTGGGCAACCACGCGGCTGACCTGGCGGCGAAAGCAGGGGCCAATCTCCACCCTGCGGCCACGGAAGATGAGCAGGAGGCTTTGGCTTTCTGCATCAGGGTCGCTAAAGCGGTTTGCAAATTGGCGGCCAAAAATCCTTCCTCAGTGGCCTCGTCTGGACCTCTCTAGCCGCCCCCGAGAGGCTCAAGTCAGCCCCAGCACAGCCTCGTCGGAGGCGGCCCTTTCGAAGGCCATACTAGAGTGTCAACGTTGTTTTGTGCGCCAGCCGTCTCATAAATTTGTGTGCAGCCTGTGCCACTGCATTATTAAACAGACAGGCATTCTGGAGGCATGCGCGACGGAGTGCTTGGTCGACCTGCCGGCGGACCCAGGGTTCACGGACTCGGCTATCGATGAGTTTCGGTCGGCGGGTTTGGGGGGGGTGACGCTGGGCGGGAAGCAGCTTCACGAGCCTCATGCCATCCGTTTCTGGCCGCGGCGCTCATTTTATTCTTGCGCGACGTGCGGCCGCGCGGCCACGGTCGCCCCGAGAAGCTTATTGTCGCAATGCGAGCCTGCAACACGGGCGTCCATAACCTGGCCAGGATAGGCAAGCATATCTTTCCGAATTGCAGTGGGCCCTCAGACGTGGTGAAGGACGCACAGGCGTCGAGGGTTTGCAGGGCGTTCGCCACCTCACACACCTCGCCTGTGGGAGAGATGGTGAGCGTTCTGCCGCACCGCGGGGAGGAGTCTGATAGCTCGGACTGACGTGGGCGGCCAAGCAGGCACTTGTATGTTTTTGTTCACACTTGTGTCTTCTTCTGCACGGCCCGATGCGACTGGCCCTTTTGGCAGCTATCCGCGCTTCACCCCGCATCTGGGGCGAGGCCAGACGTCGTCCTGGCGCTCTCTGCACCAGGGGCGTAGGGCCTCGTCGTCCTTGTGTGGGCGGTCGCCTTTCAGTGTTTCGAGTTTTTTTTCCTTCGTGCATACCCCGCATCTGGGGCGAGGCTCGCGGTCGTCCTGGCGCTCGCTGCACCAGGGATTGCGGGTCTCGTCGTCCTTGCGTGGGCGGTCGGTTTTCTTTCCAATTTTCTCGTGCTCGTGCGCGTCCGTTGCGCGCGCGCACTCGCGGGCGCTCGGCGCGCGTGTCAGGCGCCCCGCCCGGGAGGAAGGCGCGCGGCACGCTCGTCTGTGGTGTTTTCCTAGCCGAGCACGGGGGCTGTCTTTGGACGGCCCCGACCGTGGCTCGGGTCGCGGCGTCGCAGGGGCCAGGCTGCCTGGGCCTGCCCCTCTCTTCGCGTGGATCTTACACTTACAGGAAGTGTCACGTGCAGCCGTGGCCCGCTGGAGGGGTGCCCGAGTTGCTACGTTTTGTCGTGTGTCTCGGAAGCGCTCCGCCTCGTAGAGGCTCGCGCTGCGGCTGCCAGCTTTCCGCTCCCCAGCCGCGCCCGCGGGCTCCGACTGACTGCTGTTGCGGGCCTCAAAGGAGGCAACCAGTGGCGGCAGTCGCGCACAGCTGTGGCGCTAGTTCGCGGGAGCTAGCGCCTTGTGCCCTGGAGGGCGTTCATCCCGAGGCCCCGTCAACAAAAAATCTTGGAGTGGGGAGCTTGAAGTGTGGGTTGGTGTTCCCCCTCTTCGGCCTCTCTTGGCGCGTTCCTGGGGCTCTCCTGGGCGTTCTCGGTCGGAGAAAGGGGAGGGGGGGGGGGTCACGATTCGCAGGGCGCTTCCAGGGACCCCGCGGGATCTTCTCCTCCTTTTCACCCTCCCCCGGGACCTCCCCTCTCTCGTGGGGAAGGAATTGCAGGAACGGGGCCCCCTTCGAGTCGATTACGCTGTTGTTGGATTCTCCTTTGGCTGGACCGTCTGAGGAGGTGGGCCGAGGGAAGAGGGGGGGGGGGTCTGGGAGGCTCCCGCAGGTTTCAGGGTGGCGCGGGGGAAAAAACGACGAAGAGCGAGGGGGAAAAAGAGAAGGAGGAGGAGGCAGAGGAGGAAGAGGAGGAGGATCGAGGATCGGGGTTCGAGTCGATGTTTCATTTTTCATTGTCTTTTTTGGGGGGCTCTCTGGAAGCCTCCGAGGATTTCGGGGGACGTCCTGGAGGCGTCTTGGGCCGTCTTGGGGCCCTCTTGGGCCGTTAGGGGACGCTGTTGGGCGCCTCCTGGGGTGCCTCGGGGCGATATTGGGGGCCTCCTGGGCCGTCTTGGCGCGTTGGCAAACGTGGCAAGAACACTAGTGGGCCGTCTGGAAGCCGTGAGGGCGTCTTGGACAGATCGTCAGGCGAGTCGGGGTTTTCGTGGACTGTCTGTGGGGCATATTAGACCGCACTTGGCCCTTTTTGGAATTCTTTGAGCTCCGGGAATCCCCGGGGGAGCGTCGTATCTGACACCCCCCCTCCCCCCGGGACTTCCCCCCGACCCCCCCCCCCAGGGCCCCCCCCCCTACCCCCCCCCCCGGCGGGGGAGGGATCGAAGGGAAGGGGCTTCCCTTCGACTCCATTACGGCGTTCCTCAACGCTTGGCTGCTTTCAAGACGGCCGACGAGGACTCCAACACGTTCCAGGACTCAAGAGGCCACCCAGGAGGGCCTTGGGAGGCTGAATTCAGTTATTCCTATTATTGTTGAAGGTTTTTGGCGTTCTCGCTTTTCCCGCTTCCCAGCGTTCCCTCACAGCCTTGGAGGCCCTTCAGCTCGCTCCAAGACGGCCCACGAGGCCCCGAAGAGGGCCCCAAGACGGCCCAGAAGGCTCCCCAGACAACCCAAGTGTGCCCTAAGAGCGCCCTAAGAGGGGGCCCTGAGGGGTCCCGAGGCGGCCCGGGCCCGCCCCGAAGCAGGCCACGGCAGGCTAATGGGGGTCCCGAGAGTGCCCAAGACGGTCCCAAGAGGCCCCGAAGACACCCAAGCTGCTCTCAAGACGGCCGATGAGGACTCAGACACGTGCCAGGCCAGGCTCGAGAGGCTCCCCAAGCGGGCCCTGGGAGGCTGATTTGGTCCATTATCTCAGGGTTTTTGAAGGATTTTGGCGTTCTCGTTTTGCCCGCTTCAGGAGGCCCCCGAGACAACCCAATTGAGCTCCAAGAGCTCCCCAAGAGGGGGCCCAGATGGGGACCGTCAACCGATATTTCAAGGTCTCTGGCCCTAGAAGCCCCCAGCAAGCCCCCAGAGGCCACCAAGAGGCTCTTACGAAGCCCCGTGAGGCGCCTAAGAGGCCCCCAAGAAGCCCCAAGAGACCCCCAAGGGGCTCCCAGGGAACCTCAAGAGCCCCCCCGAGAGTCTCTGTAGGCTTTGAAGTACCTCGCGCTACCGGAGAGCTGTCTGGGAAGTTGACTGGGAACATGACTGATCGCCTTCTCGCGGCCCTCCGCGGATCGTCTCGCAAACCGACGACGATGAAGACGACGAAAGGACGAAGGCGAGGACGAGGACGATGACGACGACGACGGCGCGCCCCAAGAGGCGACGACGATATCACGATGAGGACGACAGCACGCCCCAGCAGGCTCCCACAGACGCCCCCCAAACCCGTGTTCCCAGAATGCCTCTTGGGAGCCCGATTCATCAAGCCTCTGCCCCACTAAGCAACCATCTTCCCCGAACGCCTTCCGCAATGCGGATTGACATGCATGGACTTCTCACTGCCCATAATGCATTCTGCGTTATGGGCATTTCTTCACTTCCCGTTCACACCATCTGTGGTCCACGACTTCAGTGGAGCAGTGAACTCGTCAAGATCTGGGGACTTCTAGAACCTGAGCGCGCGCGACGCGCGCGCGATGGTTCTAGTATATGTGTATGTAGATATGTACATGTACACACGTACGAATGTTTTCATGTGAACAGACTTGCGCTCCTGGTGCTCAGGAAGGGGCCAATGACCAATGCTGGGATCTTCGATGGCGCTTCTCCCAAGTCCTCGCAATCTGCGGGTGGGTTCGCACGCTGAGTGCGTGGGTGAAGAGGGAGGGACAATTGGATTGGCTATGGGTAGTGTGGGGGGCGGGGCGGGGGGGAATGGGGAGAAGGGGGCGGGAGTGATAGGTGGAAAAGATAAAGGGAAGGACGGGCTGGGAGGTGTGGGGGAAGGAAGTGGCGGATGCAGAAGTGGAGGAGGGGGAGGACGATGAGCAGGAGGACCGCCAGGAGGAGGAAAATAATTAGGAGCATGGTGATGATCATTGTCGTGGTAATGATGGGGAGGGGGGTCGGTGAGGGGGGAGGAAGAAGAGGGAAGAGGAGAAGGAAGAAGGAAGCGGGGCCGGGTATGCGATCCCCAGATGTGGAGAAGTCGATGTTGTGCGCTTTGGAAGACGTGCAATCGTTTGGCCACAGTTTTTTGTACATCGAAGTTGACTCTCAAGGATTTAGAGTCAGCAGTCGTCTGTCGAACTCGTATCGGCATCCTGGGCCAGGGGGTCGAGGACGAGGAGGAGAGGTGGAGAAAGAGGAAGGAGGACGGGGAGCAGGAAGCTTTAGGATAAAGGGGGAGGAGGAACAGGCGGAGGAGCAGATGGCGGGGATGCCGACCAGGCATACCTCGCACCCGCCGCGCACCATGCTGTATCGTTTCCTGCATCTTTCGCGCTGTCTGCGTCCTCCGCCCTTCCTCCTCGTTTCCTTCATCTTCCAAGTCCTGCGTCCGATCGTCTCATACATTAAACTGCAATTCTACAGGGGAGCTCGTCACGGCCATGGATCGAGGCCTCGCAGCCATGGGGGGCCCGCTTGCTTGTTCCCCGCATTTGGCCAGCGTGACAATTCATGTAAGCGTTACGTCTCATGATATTTGTTGATGCGCCGATTTTTTCTGGCCACTGCCATTGGATATTTCCGTTGATGAGTGGGGGGGCACACGGATACATACATATGGCATCTCCCCGAGTAGCTTATCTTGAGTGGTTCCCGTGGAACGTTCGGCGCAGCCGACCCCAAGGGGGTCATCCGCAGTTTGCTTGGTTCAAAGGGCGCGCTGGTGTTCGCCAGCGCGCTCTGTGGACTGCGCAGCGGGCCGCGGCCGCCCGGCGCCGCTGGGGGCTCTCCCGTGGAGGGGCAGCCTGCGCGCCGTGATGGCTGGCGGCGGCGTGGCCTGAGATGGCCGGGCTCTGGATCAACTCGGAGCTCGACTCCGACGCCCTGGAGCGGGTGGCGTTGCGGCCCGGCACGCTGCTGCAGGTGGGCGTGCTGGACGACTCATGGGCCAGCCAGGGATCCGAGCTCGTCTGCGTCGAGCGCGCCTGGCGGCCCACTGGCGGCGGCGTGCTGGTGGAGTTTCAGCACATCGCCGCGTCGGACGCGTACTTCGAGTGGTACGCCTCGGCGGTCGGGGAAGCGAGCGCTCGAGGGGCCGACACGCTGCTGCACATCTGCGCCGCGCCCGCGCGGGAGTGCCGCGTCGTCGGGCCAGACGGCTACACTCTCGAGCACGTCAACTTGGTGCGCGAGGTGACGGAGGACGAGGCGAGCGCGCTCTGCATGCAGTGGGGCAGCGACGGGGCCCTCGAGCGGGCTCGCCTCGCTATGGCTCAGCACGCCGATGGAGATGCAGATGGCAATCGAGGCGAGGAGGCCGCTGTGCCCGAGCCCGAGGGCCTGGACGACGAGGACGAGGACGACGGCGAGCACCTCGACCCAGAGCCCGAGGTGCTCGCGGGTGCCTGGCGCGCCGTCGAGGAGGCCCCACGCTCGCCCCCTCGGCGGGGGCCGCCTCGGGCCACGCTCCCTCTGCCAGAGCCGCGGCGGCGCCCGGCGCTTGGCGAGGGGGCCCGTGGCGACGCCTTGGTCCCTGCCCCTCGGAAGGCACGCGCCCCCCTCGCTGGCGGGAGGCCGGGCGATGTTGGCCAGCCGTGCGAGGGTGGGCGGGCTGGCGGCCGCGCTGGAGCAGAGGCGCGCGGGGAGCCCCGCAGCCGCGCGCCGCCCGCTCGGCGCGAGGCGCCGCCTCGGAGGTCGAGGAGCCGTGGCCGTGGCAGCGCTGGTGGCGGCATCGATGCTCTCGACGAGGCCATGCGCCAGCTGGAAAGGACCGACGCCGCGGGGGAGCGGACCCAGGAGCTGCCGCAGGAGCGCGCGGTGGCTGCGCAGGGCCGCCGCCACGACAGCGCCCACAGGCCAGCGCAGGAGGTGCTCGCCTCGCGGGCCATCGAGAAGGTCGGGAGCCTAGGCCGAGGGCGCCCGAGCCACGGGCACTCGAGTTTCGAGCGCGAGCTGCTTGCGAGGCTCGGTGGAGGTCGTGGGCGCCGCGGGAGCCCGCCGCGCGACGACGACGAGTCTGGTGCAAGCATGGAGTCGGACGACGATGTCCTTGGAGATCGCAGCGAGGGCCGAGCCAAGCACGACCACTTCATCGACTACGCGAGGCGCAAGCCAGGCCGCCTCTTGAAGTCGGGGCTCGAGGCACTCGTCAAGCAGTTCCCAGCGGGGGCTCCTGGCGGCGAGCTTCCTCCCTGCTGCCGGGCCTTCCTGGACACGGTGTTCTTCGTCGAGCACCCGCCGAAGAGTCTGGGGGCGCACGAGGTGAGGCTGCTGCGTACCTTCGCGACCATCCTCGACATGGGCTTGTCGGGGTCCACGGTCAAGGCGCTCGATGTCGCGATGCAGGAGTTCAAGGCGCGCACCACGGCGATCAAGGACGCCGACTGGTACACGGCGAAGTGGATGGCCCTCATCCCTACCGACGCTCAGCCCAGCGCTGCCTCGCAACGAGGGGGTGGCAGCACGGCGGGTGGCCCACGCGGAGTTGAAGCGCGAGGAGCTCCGCGAGAAGCTGCTTGCCAAGACGCCGCGTTTCTAGGGGCTCGGCCGGGAGGAGTCGCCGGGGCGGGCGTCTCCTCCTGCAGGCCACCCACAGGCTCCCTCACCCCACGCTGTGGTTGGAGGGAGCCCAGCGTCCCTGGACATGATTGCGAAGAGCGGTCGCGAGGCTGGGCCCAGTCCAGTCAGAAAGGCGCAAGCGGCCGCTGTGGGCAGCGGGCGTCCTCAGGCGAGCCTCAGAGCGAAGAGCATCAGCCGCGGCCCGACGATTCCTCGGGCAGCAGGGGGTGCGACGGGCAGCCAGTCGAGAGAGGTGCGGCTGAACGAGGGCGCCCCCCCGATCCCCACGTTCAAGGAACTGAGGGCAGCTAACGCCCGAGGGCCCCAGGAGACGAAGAGCGCGTACAAGGGGCGGCTGATGGCCATCTTGCAGCGCGCCAAGACAAGGGATTGACAGGGTGCCAAGTCACGAAGCTGGAGTTTGCGCTCAGCGTTGTCAACGCGTGCCGTGCAGACCCAGGTGCTTTCGGGTCGCACCTCCGTCGCGCGGGTTCAGCGCAGCCAGATCCGCGGGCAGCACGCCGTCGCGATCTCCTCCCGCTGCCTCTGCCAATGCAGAGCTCACTCCTAGCGACGGGGGCCCTCATCAAGAGCGGAGCACCGCTTCGTGACCAGGGGGCTCCCGTAGACAAGGGCTGCCAGGAGGCCATTGAGTGGGCCATCATCGCCGGGCTCAACTTTGAAGCAGAAGGGCGCGCAGCAGGCGAGCCTCAGGCTTGGCCTCAGATCGCATCTCAGGCGCAGCAGGTGGCGCTTGCCAATATCAGCTGCGCGGCCGCCTACTTCGCGAAGGACGCGCTGGAGCCGCTGAGCTACCTGGATATCGACAAGCTGATCAAGTCGAAGGGGATCGGCTACAGCGGACAGGAGGTTGAGCGCGGAGGGCCACTGGTGATGGGCGAGCTTCTACCAGGGCTGCCCAAGCCGAGATTGGCAGGTTCCGTGCAGGCTATGGATCTCGCGGCTCCGCATGTGCAGAAGTGGTTGTCGGACCCCACGCAGCTCCTCAAGCCTCAGGATGAATGGCCAGAGGAGGTCCCGAAAGCCAGCGTGCAAGTGACTAGCGACGACGAGTGGTACGCCCTGTGCAAGCACTTGGTTGACGCTGGCATCTTCGAGCCTGTCGAGGACCGGGAGATCTTCCAGGTCGGGGGGAAGCAGGTCCTCGCGGGGGCCTTTGCAGTTGCGAAGTCGGGGACCCCGACAACGCCCTTCACGAGGGTCACCAGGCACATCATCAACATGGTGCCGCAGAATGCCTACCAGCGGATTGCTGAGACCGACCTGGACACGCTGACCCCCAGCTCGACGTGGGCGTCCATCGTCGTGCCTGATGGCCAAGCCTTGTTGTGGTCGTCAGACGACCAGTCGGGGGCGTGTCATCTGCACGCTCTACCGAAGGCCTGGCGGGGGCACATGGCGTTGCGCAAACCGGCGCCTGGGGCGCTGGTGGGGCGGCCGCAGCTCAAGTGGGTCAAGATGGCGGTCGCCGTGATCCCGATGGGCTGGCTGTCTGCTGTGAGCTTGTTCCAGCATTTGCATCGGCGGCTAGGCATCGGTGATGGGCCTCACAGCGCGGGGTTCGAGGAGAAGGTGGAGTGGCGGCGTGACCGCCCACTGCCGCTTGTGCCTCAAGCCAAGGCCCAAACGTGGGTGCAGTACTACCTCGACGATTTCGATTCCCCCGAGATCGTGCCCGAGAGCGTCGCCACCCTCATCGAGGGGACCATCAGCGACTTTCAGGAGCGCCAGCGGAGGGCGTACTCCTCTGCCCGCGCCCCCTGGTCGGACAAGAAGGCGGTGTGTCGGCAGCGTCGCCTCGTCAGAATGGGCGCCCTCGTGGACGGTGACGCCGGCCGCGTGGGGTCACGATTGACAACCTGATGAGCGTCGGGCAGATGATCATGTGGCTGCTTGCTGGCAAGGAGAAGGTGACCGCCAAGGCCTGCCTCATGGTGCTTGGGCGGCTTGCCCGAGCGCTCGAGTTTCGCAGGCCGCTCTTTGCGACGCTCAATGAGGTATGGATCATCCCAGAACCGAGGGCCGCCTCAGAGCAGGGGGGGGGCGCCCTGCAGCAGGTTGTTCGCCTGCCCGAGGGGGCGCGCTCCGAGCTGCTGGCCGCCCTGTGCTCGCCTTGTCGCGGTGCCCCTGCAGGGTCGCCATGTACGCTTCCTCGGAAATAGACAAGGGGGCCAAGAGGTGCGTCAGGCAGCGATGGCCAGGGGTGATCGAGCTGGGGGACATCACCAGACTCGCCCCAGAATCGTTGGAGAAGGTCGCCCGCTACGCAGCTGAGGCTGCAAGCAATGTGATTGCAGGAGGCGGCTCACCGTGTATGGACGTGAGCGGGCTCAATGCCGCTGGCAAGGGGATCACGGGTGCGAAGAGCAAGCTGTTCTTCGAGCTGCCCAAGGCCTTCAGAACCATTGAGCGGGTCTTCGGCAAGCAGCGCACCAAGTGGTTCGTCGAGAACGTGGCGGGCATGACGCAGGACGACATTGCGATGGTCTCCGAGGTGCTTGGCGTCAAGCCGTACCGCATCGAGGCCATGGATGTAGGGGCGGTGCGTAGGCCGCGCCTGTATTGGCTTTCCTGGCAGCTGCAAGCCCGCGTCGATGTGATTGAGATCCAGGAGGCTGAGTTCTACCACAAGGTGAAGCTCCATGTCGCTGCGGAGGCCGCCCCAGTCTGGGCTGAAGACGGCTGGAGCCTGCTTGATCCTATTCACGTGCTGCCGACCTTTGCTAAGCTGTACAAAAGGAGCTCTCCCCCAGCCCCGGTCGCAGGGATCAAGACGGCCAGCGACATCGCAATCGAACGTTGGACAGCCTCCAGCTATGGGACGCAGGTGTACAATTTTGAGGATCAGAACCTTCTCTGGAACGCGGCCAGGGACAAGTGGCGCATCCCCACTGCTGATGAGCGTGAGACGCTGATGGGCTTTGATCGGGGTTACACACGCGCTGCTGTGAAGGACTCTTTGCCTGGCGTTGAGGCGGAAACCATCAGGTCGTCGCTCATCGGGAACTCGTTCTCCGTGCAGGTCGTGTCATACTTGTTTGCGCAGATCTTGGCTCGAGAGGCTGGCCGCGCGGCCCCCGACATCGCGCCGCTGCTCCGCGCGGGGGCGGCGCCGCCGTCGCGGGGCCAGGAGCCCGAGTTTGGAGGCGCCGAGGTCAGCGATCCTGACCTCGAAAGGCGGCTGGTGTTCAAGTACCTGCGGATCGCCAGCAGAGGAGGCGCAGACGTCAGACTGGACCTGCAGGCCTACTTTTCGTGCCAAGGCCTGGCCGCGCTCCGGGCTGCAGTCCAACCTGTGGACGCGGCCCATTGGACACGGCTTCCCGTGGAAGCAGGAGGCGCACATCAACGAGCTGGAGGCGGGCGCAGCTGTGAATGCGGTCAAGTGGCGTGCCCGAGCGACTGCTCGATTCGGGACCCCGCTACCTCCACCTCTTCGACTCGCAGGCGGCGGCCAGCGTGCTCGCCAAGGGGCGGTCCAGCGCCAGAAGACTGTGGGGCTGGATGCGGGCGCACGCGTCATACCTCCTCGCCTGTGGCAGCTACCCGCTGTACGCGTACGTCGACACGGACGACAACCCAGCGGATGTGCCGTCGCGCTGGTTTGACAGCGGCTGCAGGGGGCGTCGGCGCGCAGGCCGCGTCAGCGCGGCTCAAGTGGGCCGTGGACGCCAAGCGGCTCAGGCGTAGCAGGCCGCTTCAGGATGGACGAGTTGCTGCAGTCACCAGGCAGCGCTATGATCAGGCGCGACAACACTTACGAGATTTTTTCAACGAGCAGCAGCTGCGCCCAAGGAGTGCGCGAGATGTCGACCAAGGCGTTGCCCTGTACATCGAGCACGTATGGCGCACGGGCGGCTCACTACTTGCAGTGAACAATGTGCTCGCTGCGGCGCCATTCTTCAGCCCGCCGCTGTCGGGCAAGTTGAAGCAGAGTTGGAAGCTCCAAAAGACTTGGCTTCAGTTGGAACCCGACGCCCGTGCCATGCCGATGCCGCCGCTGCTCGCCCTCGCCTTTGCAGGGGCCTTCTGCTGGTGGGGCTTGCCGCGGGCGGGTGCCTTGCTCGCCGTCGGCTACGCAGGGATGCTGCGCAGTGGTGAGATGATTCAACTGAGGCGGAAGGACATTCGCATTTTTCAGCGGCGGATGTCAGCAATCGTGGCGCTCCGAAACATTAAGACGGGGCAGCGAGACGGCTGGCTTGAGCTCGTCATGATCCGCCCCAGGGTCGCGGTGAAGCTGCTGGTGCAGCATGTGCAGCAGCTACCGCCAGATGAGCTCATCCTGAACATCGAGAGGGGTGAGTTCATGCGGCTCTTCAGGCGCGCGGTGGTCGCGCTGGGCCTCACCGATGAGAGGGTGACCTTGTATTCGTTTCGGCGCGGAGGCGCCGCGTATGACTTTTTGGAGCATGGCAGCCTCGAGCTGACCCTGCTGAGAGGGAGGTGGGCGAGCGCGCGGTCTGCGCGGATTTACGTGCAGGGCGCGGTGGCCGCGCTGGCCGAGCTGCAGTTGTCGAATCTGCAGCTTGCGGATGCCCGCGCGCTCGCCTCCCATGTCTGAAAGGATGCTTCCCTCTCCTCCGACCCCCTCCTTTCAGACTTCATCCATTTCCTCTCCCTTCTGATGGCAGTGTCTGGAGTGGCGCCAGGCGGGGCATGCATAAAAGGGGGGGGCGCCCATCCTGCAACGCAGTCTGTGCAGAGTAGGGGTCATGGAAGAGTCTTGGTCCCCCCCAGAGTACCCTCAGAAGTTCCAAGCACTCGGGGCTCGCTGAAACCTCCACCCTGCTGGCTGCCGGGGCCTCCTGGTGAGCCAGTGCGGGTGGGGGGTATTCGGCGAGCTCTGGCTGGTGGGCTGGCGTGGGCCAGTGCGGGCCGGTGTTGGTGCGTTTTTTTTTTCTTTTTTTTTTTCTCAAAACTTCTGGGTAGCTCGGGCGGGCCCTCTTCCTTTGAACACAGCGCTCTGGCTGCGCCGAAGAAAAGCGGAGGGTCGGGGTATATGGCATTTCCCCGAGTAGCTTATACTGAGTGGCTCCCGTGGAACGTTCGGCGCAGCCGACCCCAAGGGGGTCATCCGCAGTTTGCTTGGGCCACCTCCCGTGTCTCTGCCTGGCGTACTCTATATAGTGCATGCCTATTCAGTCTGAGAGCCTCATCATCGCGCATGTTCGTGCGTGTATGCCTGTTGATTCTCAGTGTCTAAGTCTTGGTCCCCCCCAGAGCGCCCTCAGAAGTTCCTAGCACTCGGTGCTCGCTGAAACCTCCATCCTGCTGGCTGCCGGGGCCTCCTGGTGAGCCAGTGCGGGTGGGGGGTATTCGGCGAGCTCTGGCTGGCGGGCTGGCGCGGGCCAGTGTGGGCCGTTTTTTTTTTTTTTTTGTTTTTTTTTTTTGTTTTTTTTTTTTTTTTTGTTTTTTTTTTTTTGTCTTTATTTTTGTTGTTTCTTCCTCTTCCTTTTTTCCCTTCAAAACTTCTGGGTACCTCGGGCGGGCCCTCTTCCTTTGAACACAGCGCTCTGGCTACGCCGAAGAAAAGCGGAGGATCGGTATATATATATATATATATATATATATACACATAAGCCCCTCTCGGCTCTGACCATTGTGGGCGGGGCTGGTGGAGGCACCAGGCGGGCGCCCAATGTCTGCCACACAATGATGGCACCGCCGCAGCTGTGCTCCCGAGGGAGCGGCGGCACATGATGGCTGCGCGAGCCACCTTCCTGTCGCTCGCAGTCTTCAACCCCTTCAGCCTGGTTGGCACGCGTGGCGAGGAGGTCAGCGCTCAGCTGCAGCAGGTACACATCGTCGCGTGCCCAGGCACCAAGATCCCGAAGCACCCACATAGTGCTCACCATACTCAGCAGTATGATCATCACACAGCGATCCACTTCGGCTACGGCAAGCCGAACATGCACGTCAACAACTCAGCGGGCTGCGCCATTCTCTTGAACTCGAGGTTCAAGACGCGACACATCAAGGACATCACCTGCCCTGCACAGGAGTTGTACGGCAGAGGCGGCGCGGTCACGATCGAGCAGGGGGCCACCAAGCTCAAGGTGATCGTCGCCTACTCCCCGCCAGCCCCATGGGATAAGAAGAAGGTCCCGCAGTGGCGCGTCACCATGACCAAGCTCGCCCAGTGGGTCAACCACGAGCTTATGGCCACCCCGTCGAGGTTCACACCGATCATCATGATGGACTTGAACGACCGCTTCGCAGTTGGCCCTGATGGAGACGAGACCGTCGGCTCCTTCCCGACGGGCCGCGAGGGCGAAGCTGGCAAGCTGTACCACCGCACCTTAGAGAACAATCACATGGCCGTCGCCAACACCTACTACGATACAGGCCCCACCTACGTCGGCCGCTTCCCCTCCGTCACGGACTACATCTACATGCCGAGAGGACTTATATCCAGGATCCAAAGCTGCCGCGTCTGGAACCACTCCGCCTACGCCCTGCAGATCCCACGCAAGTTTAAGGACCACAAGCCGCTGGTACTCAAGATGGAGGCCCCCCCATCATGCCACACCGAGGGCAAAGCCATCCAGCACTTCGACCGCGACGCCCTCGCCCTGGAGCTGAAGGAAGGCCACAAGCGCGAAGAGTTCCTCACCAGCCTGGAGCAGCAGCTCAGCACCCACGCGCAGTTATTGGATCAGTATTTGGAGCTCGAGGACGGCACTTATCATTGGGGACTCACAATGCAGTGTTTCAGAGATGCGGCCTTGGAACATTTCTCTCTTGATGTTCAGCGACCTCAGTGGTACAAGGAGGCCCGTGCGACCAAGCTAGACCAGCTACGGCAGCGCGCAGTTCTTCGCATCCAGCGCGCTCAGCTCGAGGAGAGCAATAGCCTGGAGGCCGAGATCGAGGCCCTGGACACATCCATCCGCGATTTGAGCAAGACGCTCACCCGACACATCAAAGACACGAACCATAAGTACAAAGAGAACCAGTGCGAGGACCTGTGGCAAGCATGGCGCAGCCGACGTCTTGCGGAAAGCCATCGAGTCGTTAAAGGTATGCTTCGACATCGGCTCCGAGCGAGACGCAGGTTCTATGGCATTTTACCGAGCAGCAGACCGAGCACATATCAATGGCAACAGTTTCTGGAACGCCCAGGCGCTGAAGGCGGTCTTCTCGCAATTCCAGCACCAGTCCACGTACCTACGCGAGCAGAGCTTACTGGAGCCAACCCCTCCCAGACCAGGGAGCACGATGTGCCAGGACACTCTCACCTGGCATCTTCACTACCACGTCCGACCGCGACAGGCGTGGGTTTGTCTACCCAGCGGGGGGCGCGGTGCGAGTGGGGACTGCCCGGCGGTGCGCCGTTAGTGACCCTCGCACCGTTGCTCCCCGACCCCGCGCACAGCGCGGAGAGTTCAACTCTGCCTCTGGCTGGATGGAACAAAATACCACGTCCGACCGCGGACCTACCCACCTACCATCAAGGCATGGACGACGCCGAGGCCTCCTTCGACGACATGATCGACCAAGAGGAGCCAGACACGCACACGCTCGACCAGATGCTACCACCAACGCCGAGTACACCACCTCCATCGGCACCGAGTGCAACTACTTCGACTTCTGCTTCGGGACCCGCACCCTTACCTGCCACCCGGGGCCTCCAGCTCAACTTCGTGATGGAAGCAGCCGACGAGTTGGCAGCAGTCACTAAGCTTCTGGGCAAGGCGAAGCGACGGAAATATGCCCCAACCTTCTCGGTACCAGCTGAAGTCCTTCTCATGGTCCTTCAACCTGAACTCCTTCGACGACCAGGACGAGCTCGAGGGGGACTTGGAGCCGCCAATGCCCCAGCAGCTGATGAGGACCCATCGCGACGGAAGCTTCAACTATCTCAGCCTTACCGCCTTGGACGAGCACGACTAGTAGCTACGCTGGCACACGTTCGTCAATACGATCGGGTACCGATGCAAGCAAATACCTCACACAGCTTCCAGCTCGACAAGGGCAAGATGATCCCTGGCCCATGTGGACTACGCCTCATCCATTGCTTCGTGTTCTGGCGCTGTTTCTATCGGCACTTACGGGAACGAGGCTTTCCTGAGGCACCACCTGACTACGCCTACGGCGGCATCGCTCATAGACGCAGAGAATACGGCATGATTGTCACCAGAGTGATGGCCAGCAAACTTCGGAAGGCTCGTATCGCTTTTGCGGTGCGCTCCCATGATGGTCGCAACGCATTTGGCTGTACCAACCACGAAGCAATCACAGAGTACGTTCTTCCCTCTTTTCGTGCAGGAGACCGACGGCTGGTTCAGCAACGTCGGAGAGAATCCCAGACCATCGTGGACGCCAGCGACGGGACCCTACTGATGCGCAACCGCGAGGGTGGCCTGATGGGCTGCTCCAACGAGCCCGACGCCTTCATGAAGGTCTACAACGCCAAGCTCGAGCATTGGCGCGACGACACCAAGGCCACGATCTCCAACAAGATGCTCCTCTCATGCGCGCCGAGGTGGGACCCCGAAGGACCAGTGCAGGACGCATCGCGCCAAGTATTCGTGGACGACATTCTGAAGTTCCACATTGCGATTCGAGTCGGACCCAAGAAGCAGGCTATGGATGCTCAAGGCAACTTGCACGATGCGACGATCACCGAGCTCGACGCCCTTGCAATGACCATCGAGCGCGACCTGGACTCCCTACGGGCATCGCTACGGACTGGAGGTTTCGGCCTGAATGAGTCCAAGGAAGAAATCGTCCACAGCATCCCGTCCAAGACCCTCCACCGCGCCTTCTTCGACGATAGCCGCATCAACTGCCGCAAGCTCACCTCCATGAAACACGTCGGGGGCATGTTCGACGGCAAGGATACGTTTGGCGGCGAAAGAGAAGCACGTCTGCGAGCTGCCAACGCAGGATGGAGTCAGTACCATCAATTCTGGTTTAGTCGTGCACCTCGACGCCTGAAGCGGTTGGTCTTTCAAGCGGTGGTCTACGAGGCGGCCATCAGTGGCGCTGAGACGTACTATCTGCACACGACGGACTACAAGAAGCTCGACACGTCCCTGGGCAAGAAGCTTAGGGCTATGCTGAAAGGCAAAGCCAGCACGCGCACGCACGACAAGTACAAAGCCATCTCAGCCGCCGAAGTTTGGAGACGTTGGGAGATTGCACCCAGTTCGATTGAACTCAAAGTACGCCGTCTTAAACTTCTCCAGGGTGCTGCCGCTCATCCAGACGACTCCAAGCAGATGATCTCTGTCCTGTTCGGCGAGCTCCAGATCGAGCACTACCTTCGAGAACTCGAGCTTCCTGTGGCGGCACGCACACTCGATGACGACGGCTACATCAGCCCCGACGCACACCTCATCGCCAGGCAGTTTTCCACGGACATCCAGGACATGCTGGTCTTGGACGTCGCCGAGCCGCTAGAATACCTGGACTGGCGCGGCAACATCGTGGAGCTTTTCACGGACCCAGAGGTCGCGGAGGCCTTCTGCGGCGTGGACGTGGGCATGATGAGGGCTGCCTACCTTCGGCGCGCATTTGCGCCACCAGGGGCTCTGCCAGAGCTCCCGTCGGAAGTGGCCCCGTCAGACGAGGCCGAACTGTTCGTCTGTACGCTGAAAACGTCCGAGGGCACCACATGCATGTCTACGTGGAAGAGCGCACGCGCACTATATGCACACCAGCGGGGACTCGCACCAGGAGGGGAACACGGCATGTGCTGCATGTTATCACAGCTCACGATCACGAACGAGTGCATCATATGTGGTACGACATTCCCTACGCGCGTGGGTGCACAACATCACATCACAGCCGCCTGGAGGTCACATACATGCCGCACGGATCAGACTTGGGCCCCATATCCTATCACATCGCCAAAGTCACTTACATGCCCTATATGCTACGAGTCCTTCGAAGAGTACAGCATGATGCGCGCACATCTCCGTAGCCATCTACCTCAAGACGTACTGGGTGCTCACACGCTATCGATCCCACCGCCAGCACCTACACCAGCGCCTATTCCAGCACCGACCGACGCCCAGGATGCCTCCGTCGGGCGTGAACCCAACACCCGAGAGGGCGGGATGGCGTGCCCCCCAGGCGTCCTCAGTAGCGTCTGGAGCTGGTGGCAGTCGAGGCAGACCCGAGCGACCCGAGCGCTCCAGGAGCCAGACGCGCGAGCAGCGCAAAGGCCAGGACGGAGAATCGATGGAGGACGAGAGCTCGAAGTTCGACCCCAAGAAAGCAACCCTCAACCGAGTTCGGCGTCGACGGGGTGCCGCGTTCAAGGAAAAGACGGCGCCCAAGATGAGCCAGGAAATGAAGGACTTGCTTCTCGTCATCCTGAGGGCGACGTACCAGAACACCAGGCAGGTGCGCGAGCTCAAGGGATGCATCATCACGACAGTGAAAGTGGACGACACCGACCCCCTGGTGGAGGCGATCGAGACGGAGAACCGCAGCTACGCCAAGATGATCCGCCAAGAAGGAGAAAATCACGGAAAGGGCCCCCCAGCCCCAGGCGCAGCGATGGCCATGATGGAATCCTTGGTGAAGCAGGACATTGGAGCCAAGAGCAAGGAAGAGTTAACGGCGGCGATCCAGGCGATCAACGAGCTCGACGCGTACGAGGCCCAGGACATGTTCCCGATATGCAAGGTCGAGAAGGCGTACAAGAGCGGCACCGCGAAGATCATGTACCACTGCCGCGACATCTCAGTACGCCAGAAGATCATGACTGCCCTTCACAACGCCAGCAAGCCGGCCTGCCTGGGCCCTGCCCCCGCGGGCTTCGTGGAGGACGAGCTGGCCCTCTACATGGATGCGCTGGCCAACGATGTGTGAGTACTACCGACCTCGACGTGGAGATAGATGGACGGTCGATGAGGATGCTGAAAGCCACTCCAGCTCAGAGCCAGGTAGTGCAGCAGCTACGCACACCACCTCCATCTGCACCGAGTGCTACCACCTTCACGACTTCGGTCATTTCATGTGGGAAATCTCGAGCTGGTGCAAGCAGTGGCTCGAGCAGCTCGGCGCCGCCATGTACACCACCCTGCACGGCACCGAGTGCAACTACTTCGACTTCTGAAGCTTTCGCCTCCCGCACCCGCTCCTCACCACCTGCTCGAGACCGGCTCGAGAGGGAATATCCAGTCTCTGGAGCTTGGGGGGTAGGACTCCCACCCCCCCAGCGACGACCTCCCCCCCGTCCTCCGCCCGCTCGCAGTCCTTCTGCTGCTGCCTCCATGCCCCCTCGCCCCACTCGCCCTCCCCTTGACGCGCGCACCACCCTTCTCACCGCTCGGGGACGGGGGCGAAGCCGAGGGCCCCAGGGGAAAGCTCGGGGTCGGGGACGCCCCCCTCGGTGAGCTGGTTTGTGTGTGCGCCGCTTCTGTGCCGCACTGCTCACATTCACGAGCTGCGCGGTGCCAACACGAGACGCCAAATTGGCGAGCACCGTCTAGGTTCTCAGAGTATTCATTTCAATACCTGAAGTTTGGAACTCTGGACACTTGGTGTGAGAGATATATACACATTTACATATATGTATACTATGTATACACATATATATATATATATATATATATTGCATTTGGTCTCATCGCTTGTGCATTCGCTTTCTCCCCTCTCGCTGCCTCTTCCCCTCAAGCCTTTCTGCCGTGAACAGTTCATGGCCGCCTGGGTGCACGCTGCAGGCGGGTGGGTTCTCGGGGCGCTCTCCGAGCGCTGGACTGGGCCCGGCCGCAGCGGGCTCGCCGAGGTCTCCTGCCGCTGCGTGTTCGAGGGCTCGGACACGACCGACGGCCTGGTGGCCATCCTCCGGGAGCAGCTGGCACGCTGCGGCCCGGAGCACCTGCAGGGGGTCGCGTGCCAGCCCTGCCCTCCGTGCCCGCTCCCTCCTGGGCACTACGCGGGGCTCGACCTCTGCGGCGCGGCCGTGGTGGGCGTGGCCCTTGGCGCTGGGCTGGCGACCGCGGCCTGGCTGGCGGCTGGATCGCCGGGTCGGCCGGCGGTGCGAGGGCGCGCCCTCGCCGTCGAGGACGACGCCGGCGGCGCGCACGTGGCGACGCCGTCGGCTCTCGGGCGAGGCCGGCGGGCTCCTGGTGCTCGTGCTGACTGAGGGCCGCCATGGCCCGTGCGCTGGACACGCCGTTCAGCCAGTGCCTCGTCAGGTACGAGGACGACGAGAATTTCCAGTGGCATCACCGGGTGCTGCTGGTGCAGGGAGATGCTCAGAAGTGGATCTGGCTCACGCCGGACGGGGAGGTGGCCTTCGTCGACCTGGCCACCTTTCGAGTCCTGGCCCTTCGGCGCTCGGGCCCTTTCCCAGCACGGCATGCTGGGAACATCTACGCCTTCGACGAAGTGGCAGCGGAGGACATGCAGGGCTACCTCGAGGAGGCCAGGGCTCTGGGCACGATCCTCGGGTTCGACCTCGCTGGCGTCGTGGGCCTCCCGGGGGACAAGTGGTACGTGAGCGACCCCACCTCGTCGCACTTCGGCGAGGAGGTGCCCCCCCAGGTCCTCGCCAACGAGGAGGTCCTGGTGCGTCGTGGGGATGTCGGGCTGGTTCGGCTCGACGACGTCTGGATCCACGCGATCAAGGTGAGCGAGGGCCAGAACTTCGACACGTACCTGGCCCGAGCTCGCGGAGGCGCAGGCCGGGACCCGCGTGTCGTGGGCGACGAGAGGGACCAGGACGGAGGCAGGTACATCGACTTCCGGGACTCCGTCCGTCGTATGAAGGAGGCGACGATCCCAGGTTGGCCTCTGCAGGGCCGCCGTGCCACGAGGGAGGCTGTGCTCTCCCTTCGAGACGGCGGTCAGGGCAACTGGGAGGAGCACCACACCACGTGGCTCCGACGCAGTGGAGTGGCCGAGCGCGGCAACGTCGCCCGCGAGCACCACATGATCTGCGCGTCTCTTCGGATGATGCAGCAGTTCGACCAGCTCGACCTGTTCAACATTGCGGGCGCGGAGTACCTCGTCAGGCGGCTCAAGCAGCTGGAGTCGGCGACCCGCAAGAACCCTCGGGCGCCCGACTTCGAGGGGCTGGACCTCATCCTCGACACGGGGGTCGACGACACGGGCGGCATGGTGCTGCCGGAGTTCGACGGATGGGTTGGCGACCAGGCGCGCGCCCGCGCCCAGACCATGAAGGCGAATCGGCAGTGGCAGGAGGAGAGGACGGCCGCGCAGCCCAAGGCGCCCCCGAAGGGGCCGAAGGGCGGCGGGGCCGACGCTGGCAAGTAGCAGGGGGCCGGCCGGCCCCCTCCTTGGGCTGGGCGCCCTGCGGCGCCCCGCCCTGCCTGGCTGCCGCCGCGGGTTCCTCCGCCGCGGCCGCCTCCACGTCCTCCCCATGGCATCGGGATCACGCTCCTCGCACGGGGACCCGCTGCCGCTTTCGGTCCCGGGGCCTGGCCCGCCGGTCGACCTCAGCGGGGCGCCGCGGTACCTGCGCCAGCGGGTGCTCCAGCGACGCTCTCGTGAACACCGTGTTCGTGAGGCAGTTCACTCGATCAACTGTCTCGCCGCCTGCACGGTGCGCCATCGTGGCCGCGGGCCAGGTGGCGCTGCCGATTCAGGGACTTCGGGTACGGCGACTTCGTCCTCGTGTGGCCGGCAGCTCGGCCGCTGCGTGGCGGAGTATGGCCCTCGCCCGGCAGATCTCCACCCTCGCGGAGCCCTTCAGGAGCTCCTCAAGTCCGACTCGCTCTACGGTGGCGCGCCGTCCAAGGTCGTCCCGTACGAGGAGTCCAAGCTCAAGTTCTGGCAGTCCTCGGTCACGCCTCGAGACGTGGAGGAGGTCTGCCCCAAGTTCGTCGTCGACGCCTTCCGCGACCCCGACACCTACATCCGCAAGCCGGACCGCGTGGTGGAGCAGGACCTCGAGCTCCTGCCGCCGATCAAGCCGTACTGGGACGCGCGGCTGGCCAGCGACGCCGGCCTTCGTCGGGACTTCCTTCTCAGGCTCGCGGGGCGGGGGCTGGTCGGCTTCCGGAGGCGGATCAGGTCACGCGTGGGGTGTTTCTTCGTCGAGAAGAAGGGCGGCTGGATCCGCCTGGTCGTCGACGCTCGGGACACCAACCGCACCCACTGGGCGCCCCCGCATGCCGCCCTCGGGACCCCGGCTGCCCTCAGCGAGCAGGACTGGTCCGATGCTGCGCTCTCGGACGCCGGGTGGGTTAGTGCTGATGGCTCGCCCGCTCAGATCTTCGGGTCGTCCCTCGACCTCCAGGACTCGTTCTACCAGTTCTTCTCGGAGCGCGTCGCGGAGGACTTCGGGATGGACTTCCCTGAGCGGGCCTCCTACTACCAGGTCTCCCACATCTGGACGCCCGACGGCCTGTCCCCTGTCGACCCCGACGAGCTCGTGTTCCCGGTCTTCCGCGGGGTGCCGATGGGGTGGTCATGGGCACTCTGGGCCGTGCACTCGTCCGTCACGTCCTGGGTCGCTGACACGCTGCCGGGGGGTGCCCGACGCCTGCTGCTTGACAAGCAGCCGGCCCCCGTCGCGGCACCCTTCCGCCCCACAGGGTCGGTCTACGTGGACAATGTCTCGTTCCTGGGCCTCTCGAGCGACGATGTCGGGCTGGCGCTGCAGGCCGCGAAGGACAAGCTCGACTCGCTCGGCATCGCGTACCACGAGGTCGAGGGCCCGGCCACGCACTTCACCACCGTCGGCGTCGAGTACGACGGGAGGCGGAGGCGTCTGCGTCATTCCGATCACCGGGCCTGGCGCCTTTACTTGGCCTGTCAGGAGCTCGAGCGCCCTGGGGTCCCGCGCGCGGCCTGGCAGATCCGAGTGTTCCTCGGGCATTGTGTCCAGCACTGCCTGCTGCTGCGGCCGGCCCTCTCGATCTTCCGCCTGCTCTACCGCTTCGTGGACGCGCGGGGTCAGGGGCCTCCAGTCGCACTGTCTGCTGGGGCCCGTCGGGAGATCCAGCTCTTCAGGGGCCTCATCTTCCAGGCCGTCGTCTTCTTGGACCGGCCGATGTCCTCCCTGGTTTTGTGCTCCGACTCGTCCGAGGCAGGCTACGCCCTCCACCGCCGACGCGCTGACGTTCGACTCCTTCGGCAGCTGGCTGCTACCCGGGAGAGGTGGAGGTTCGTCCCCGACGAGAAGCGGCCCGACGCGGCGCTCGACGACACCTTCTCCCCGGGCTGGGTGCCGGGCGCTGGAGGGGTGCTGGGGGAGCCGCCGGGCGCTACAGGCGTGGCCGTCTGGGCCCCCCCGCCGACCCGCTCGAGGGAGGGCGCCCGGGGCGTGCTCAAGGGCCGTCTCAGGCCCACCGTGCGACCTGCTGGCGCCCCCGTGCCCGACAGCCTCGTCGATCCCAGGGACTGGTCTCTCATCGTGGAGGGCGCCTGGCGCCGCGGGGGGCCCATTCACCTGCTGGAGGGCCGCGTCGCCCTGGGGGGCCTGCGGCACGCCGCCCGGCAGGTCGACTGCCATGGCTCCCGAGTGCTCAGCCTGGGCGACAACATGTCGGAGCTCCTCTCCATCGAGAAGGGGCGGGCCGTGGACCTCGGCCTCGCTTGTCTGTGCCGGAGGGCCGCCGCGTACCAGATCGCCTGCGGGATCTCCTGGCGGCGCCGGCACCTCGACACGGACCGCAACCTCAGTGACGCGGGGTCGAGGAAGGCGCTGCAGGGCGTCTACCGCCCTGGGCAGCGGCGGGTCGGCGGCAGGTCGGAGAGGCCCGCTCCGCCCGCGGGGTGCCCGCAGTCGGCGCCGCCGACGCCGGCCCCGCCGGCGCCCTCGGCGATCGCCCGCTGGCCAGTCGCCGAGGAGGCTCGCGAGCCTCCCCCCGCGGCGCGGCTGCGCGGCGGCCGACTGCAGTCCTGCCCGCCGCGGCCGCCGCCGCGGGCTCCTGGGGCTGCTGGCCGCTGCGGACCGCGGCGCGCCCCACGGCCACAAGGGGGGCCCGCAGCCGGCGCCCCTGGCCACCCTGCACGCAAGGCGACGTTCGACGAGGCCGAGGGGGCCCGCGAGCTGTCGCCGCCGGCGGCCTGCCCACGCGGGCGCCGCCCACGGCCGCGGCCAGTGCCTGCGCCGCGGCCAGCTGGGGCCCTCGGACGAGTTGGACGGAGACTCGTGCCGGGGCCTCGGCCCCTTTCTTCCGAGCGGGCCCCGCCACGTCTGGGCCGCTCCGGGCCGCGCACGCGCGTCGGGAGCGCGCCTCGCGGGCCGCCTGCCCTCGGGAGCCTTCGATTGCATGCCCGGCCTGGCCGAAAATGGACGACAGAGCCTCCCGGGCTGCCGCCCCCTCCGCCCACGCCGTTCGTCGCGGTCGAGCCGGGTCGTGTTCCTGTACCTCAGCTTCGTGGACGTCGGGCGGCTCTCGAGGTCTTCTCGGGGGGGGCTCGCTGGACGGGGGCTCTCGCGCAGCTCGGGCTGGCTGTCGCGGCTCCGATCGACATCAAGTTCGGGCATTGGGGCGACCTGCTTCGGCCCAGCATCGAGACCGTCTTTCGCCAGTGGATCGTCTCTCGCAAGGTCTGGTTCGTGCACTTCGGGACTCCGTGCACTCCGTGGTCAGTTGCTCGCCGTGGGGCCAATGATACGTCTGCTATACGTGCCGGTCGGCGGTGTGCTCATGTCACTCTTCGTCTACTTCGGTTGTGCGTTCAGTTCGGCGTCAGGTGGTCCCTCGAGAACCCCCGGGGATCCCGGCTCTTCTCTTGGGAGCCTCTCCAGAAGTTCCTGTCCGAGCATAGCAAGGTCTCCGTGGTGTATGACTGCTGTCAGTTTGGAGCCCCGTACCAGAAGCCCACCAGGATTGAGTCTGACCTCCCCGAGCTCGGCATCCTTGAAAGGCGTTGTCTTGGAGGTCATGCCCACGAGCATCTTCAGGGGAAGGTCAAGGTCCGTGATCGCCAGGGTCGGCTCAAGCAGTTCTGGCGCACGACCCTGGCTGGCGCCTACCCTCCTGGTGTCTGCCACAGCGCCGCTCGGGCCTTGGCGCGCGCGGCGCCCGCGGGAGCCTGGCGACCAGATGGGGATCCACTGCTGCCCGGTCACTGGGAGGCTCAGCTCCGCCGTGCAGCCAAGGTGGGCGACGACCAGCCGTCCCTCGAGTGCCCCAGCTGCCCGAGGAAGTGGGTCGCGCTCTGGCCGGCCGACGCCGAGGGCTGGGGCCGCTTCGTCGGCCTCCCGCGGCCGCGGGCAAGGCCGAAGCCTCGGCAGAGGCCGGGCGTCGGGTGCCCGGGCCCGCCAGGTGCCCGCTGACTCCTCGCCGGGCTTCCTGCGGCGCTCGCAGGTGCGGCCGGCCACTCAGGCCCGCTACCTCGCCAGCGTCGTCGTGTTCGCCGCGGCCATGGGCGTTGTCGCCGACCGCTGGGTGAGCAAAGACCTCCCCCTGGTGGACACGCTCCTCGAGGAGTACTTCGAGCAGCTCTACGTCGACGGCGGCAGCAAGAGCACGGCCCGCTACACCTTGGCCGCCTTGGCCTACCGTTTCAGCGTGTCGCTTCGTGCCCCAGGCGTCTTCCCGAAGGCGAAGGGCGCCCTCGCCGGCCGGGGCAAGCTCGAGCCGGACGTCACCTCGGAGCCGCTCTGCTGGGCGGCAGCGTGCTTGATGGCCCTGTACCTGGCCGGCCTCAACACGGAGATTGCCCTGCAGGCCGCCCGCGGCCTGGTGGTGCAGTTTGACACGTACCTGCGCCCTGGTGAGCTGCTCGACCTCCGCGTGCCCTGCTGCATCCTGCCGCAGCCGAGTGCCGGCTCAGGATACAACAAGATGGGGCTCGTCGTCGGTGCCTCCGCGCTGGTCATGGGTGACGACGTGCACACGCGCGTCACCAAGACTGGCCTCCAGGACGACACCGTGCTCATCGATGGCCAGTCTCGTGCGGGTGTGGCTGGCGCACTCATGGCCCTCGTCAAGAGCGCCAACCAAGCCCGCCAGGGGCGCCTCATGTTCCTCCACTCGTACGCGTCGTACAACCGCTTGCTCAAGAAGGCCGCCGTCGCCGTCGGCCTCCCGACCAAGGTCACGGCCCACCTCCCTCGGCACGGCGGTCCGTCGGAGGACTACCTGAGAGGCGCCCGTTCGCTGGCCGACATTCAGTCTCGCGGCAGGTGGTCGAGCTTCCGTTCTGTACAGCGCTATCAGAAGAGCGGCCGAGCTCTTGCATCCTTCAGACGCCTCTCGGCCGCTGTGAAGGCAGAGGCTAAGCGTGCTGAGGCCTTGCAGTTGTCCTTCCTGTCGTAAGGTGCCTCTCTGAGCTTAGCCTGCTGCAGTGTTCCCTCGGCAAGCCAATGGAGTCGATACGGGATTTACTCCAGCGTTTGATATGGGTTTGATTTCAGGTCTGGCCAGACTGTCAGATTTCTCGAGCTCCTCGGCCGCGTGGGCCAGGGGCTCTCAGTATTTCAGCTCTGCCGTCAGCCGCCATCGCAAGTGCACTCAGGTGTGGGCCTGAGCTCCGGCGCTGTAAAAGAAATGAAAGTCCTCGTCACGCCAGCTGTCTTTTTCCGTTAGGCCGACGCCGTTCCGAGTCTCTTGGGACCCACGCCCTGGGAGGGGTGTCCGTTCATGATTGCATTGCATTTGGTCTCATCGCTTGTGCATTCGCTTTCTCCCCTCCCGCTGCCTCTTCCCCTCAAGCCTTTCTGCCGTCCCGCCCTTCCGACCCAGGGAAACGCTGGAGTGGAAGGCAAAGTAGCTTGGACTTCTGCGAATTCGGGTTTGATTTCAGGTCTGGCCAGACTGTCAGATTTCTCGAGCTCCTCGGCCGCGTGGGCCAGGGGCTCTCAGTATTTCAGCTCTGCCGTCAGCCGCCATCGCAAGTGCACTCAGGTGTGGGCCTGAGCTCCGGCGCTGTAAAAGAAATGAAAGTCCTCGTCACGCCAGCTGTCTTTTTCCGTTAGGCTGACGCCGTTCCGAGTCTCTTGGGGCCCACGCCCTGGGAGGGGTGTCCGTTCATGATTGCATATATATATATATGTATATATATATATGTATGTATGTATACATATATGTGTATATACATACACATATATGGAGAGAGAGCGAGAGAGCGAGAGAGAGAGTGCGTGTGTGTGTGGCAGGTACAGGTGTAGGTCTAGAGATAGAGGGAGAGAGAGAGAGAGAGAGAGAGAGAGAGAGAGAGTTCCGTAGCCATTTTGGCTCAAGTACTCGATTTTTTCAAAGCGGCATCAGAGTGCCCACTTGGGGGAACGAACGATCGATCCCTGCCTCCAGACGGCTTCGAGGCCGAATCAGGTCTCCTCTGACGAACACTTCATCGGCTACAGCGGCCCTATGGTCACTGTTACGCCCTCGCGTACAGAACCCGCTTTCTCCCTGCGGGCCCATGCCCCCACCGCGCATCGATGACGCGCACGGGGGTCGGCGGGCTTCTCTGCGCCAGCCTCCGAGCCCGCGCAGCGTTGCTGCTTCTGCTGCTGTGCGCTGGCGGGGTCCAGCTGAGGAGGGGCGAGTCTACAGCCGCGAAGAAGTTTTACCACGCAGCCCTCATCGCGCTTATTCTACGCAGTCTCCCAGCCGTGACCCGTGGCTGGCCGAGCAGGAGGACACCTCGCATATGGGCTCGGTGGAAGCTGGTGCTCCCCCTCTTAGCGATCACCCTCGCATCAAGGAGTCTGACGACGGCGCAGAGGTGCCCGAGGAAAAGCCTCCTGACGAATCCAGCTACTTCGACCCCTCCCAGATGGACCAGCCCGTCAAGTGTGGCGAACGCCGGAGCATCTTGGCCGACCTGCGTGAGTACGTTGTTGACTCTGTCAACTCGTCCCAGGCGCGCTTGGCAGCTGATCCTTCGAAGGGCGCCACCAAAACTATCCCTGCCATGGCCGCCCGCCAAAAACAAAATAATAAGCAAGAAGTCGAGCTCCACCTACGTGGTCTGGATGCAGCAGTTGCCGCGGTGGTGAAAGACCAAATCGACATTTGACAACAGCCTGAGCAGATGCGGAAGCAGCTGCGCATCATGGAGAACAACGCCCCGCAGGCCTTCGATATCTCGGACTCGGTTAAAACTACGCGCGCCCTGCCAGCAAGACGATCTTCGTCGCGAATGCCAAAGAGATTGTCGCGAGTGAGGAAGTCACTAGTAGCGTCAAAAGTTAAGTCTCTGCCGCTGGTTTCGATGATGAATTGTGGAAGGTCGAAGGAGCGTTGCCAGGCTGTCGATTTGCATCCCAATTCAAAAGGATATGAAGCCATGGCTGCCCGTCATGTGGCCCGCACACTTCGACGCCCCAGGTATAAGGGCGGTAGCTGGCGCAATTCTGAATGCTCGATGGTCGCTGGCGGTCGCGCTCCTCTCTGTCCCGGTCTGGATGAGAATCTTAAAATGCGGCGCGAGGTCCAGGCAAGGAAGCTGGCCGCCGTCATCGCTGACAGATGCCAGGGGGGAATCCGTGCCAATCGCTACCAGGTCGTCATCGCTCTCGCGGGCGCCCCACTCGCGCGCCTCGCATTGGGGGATGAGTCCGAGGAGCCGGCAACGCTGGAGTGGAACTACCGCGTGGTTTCTGATAATGATGTGCCAAAGGCAGACACCAAGGCCGACTTCGACGCAGCCCCCGGCTCCTCAGACAAAATCCAGTGGTCGATTTAGCACATGTTTTGCCCCATAGTCACCTCGTCACCCACAGCGTGGCCATGCTAGCTAGCTGTGGCATCTGGAACGCTCGTGCCCTGCCCCACCACAATGGTGAGATACGTTTCAAAACACGAAGTTCCTCGTCCAATATGAAGGGAACTACGATGGCTGCCCAAGAAGTGCATGCGAATGGGATCCAAACCCGGCATGAGCTACACCGCCTCCGTATCCCATACAAGGCTTTCGCCTCCTTCACTGATCGGCGTGATACAGGGGGCGTCGCGTTTATCGTGGCCTGTTCTCATGACGCTGACGAATATGTGCTCTTTGTTCCCGAGACTGTCGTTGATGGCCGAGCGCTCCGCCTTCGGGCGTCGGTCGCCCCATCGGTCGCCAGCGAGCCGAGCAACCGTGACATCTTCTACAACGTCCACAACATTGGCCTCACACCTGGTGGTCTGGAGAAGATTGGCACAGCCATGTATCATGATCTCGCATTGGCTGCGCTCGCTCCTGACCGCATGAACATCGCGTTGTTGGGAGACTTCAACCTGTGCGAGAGCCCGCCGCTACGCCGCCATGCACCAGAGCTCACCGACCCCATTGCCGCTGATGCTGCACCTGGGCCCTTGCAGCGTCAATGGGGTGACATCTCCGCGAGGTTCGCTGAGGTCGATGACAAGCTTCCTACCCACTTCGCGTCGCTCGACCAAGGTCCTCGCCTGAACGTTTGACGCTGCCACTGTGCTCCTCCCCCGAACACCCGCAAGTGCGAGGGATATCGGACCATGCCCTCGTCATTGTTATTGTGCGTCCGAGGCAGGCCGCCCCTGGCGACCAGCGCTCGACCCCGTTCTTCTTATTCGACGACCCTGAGTTCGCCGCGGTCTATGACAAATACTGCGCTGCGTTGGAGTGGTCTGCGCTCTCTGCGTTCATTGCCGAGCTGAACATAAACGGCTCATGAGAGAAGCTGCCCGTCATGCCCGCGACCGTCTCATCAAGTTTGGGGGCGCCACCGCACAGTTATGTGTTGATCTTCCTATGTCCGGTGCTGCGCGGAGGAACGACCACGCGCTGGCGAAGAAGCTTCGAGAACCAAGTCCGATCGCATAGCGGCACATCTCGTCCACTAGCTGCAAGATTGCCCTCATCGGCGCCGCTGGGTTCGAGGCGGAGTTCCAGCTAGCGCGGAACACCTTCGCCGAGAAGCGCATGTCACACCTTGGCGATGCGCAGGATCGCAAGCCCCCTGACGGCGCGTCCTATAAGTTACTCAGCGGTATGCGTTGCTCCCTCCGTCGGCGCGCGGCTCTGTGGTCCCCGTTCAAGAAGACGCTGGAACTACAGGGTCTCGAGCTTCCAGACGACGAGTTCGGGCTTCGCTCAGTCGTTGGACGTGAAGTTGTATTTGCAGCGCTGCGCGCCCACTGTCTCCTGTCTTTCAGCATAAGAACATCCCGTCCAAAGTTGCTTTGCAGTGTCCAGCTACGTATAACGTCTCCATTGATTTTTCCGATTTCTCACCGCCCGGCGCACGACTATTCGAACGCGCTGAATGAGCTGCGAGGCCCATGGCTGCAGGCCCTGATGGCATGCCCTACTCGGGCTGGGAGGTGTTTCGCATAATCTCCATGGGCCACCCGCCGCCGTGCGTCTGGAGCGATCACCTCATGGTCATCGCACTTACGGGCAATGAGGATGGCGATTCACGTGTGGTGCATACCGCGAGGCGGCGCGCACCCGTGCTTTAAATAATGCAGATGACAAGATCGTGGCGGCCGCAGTGAACCGCGCGACCAAGCGCGAGCTCTCCCTCAAGTGCCCTGCCTCGCAGAGAGGTTTCCTCGCTGGGCGCAACGTCCTCGACGACGTCGCCCTCCCCCACACGGTGGGCCGCGCTGCTGGCTTCCAGGACCTCAGGGGCGTCAAGCAGCCGTACTTGGCCCTCTTCGATTTCGGCGATGCGTTCTCATCCCTGGCCCACGACTGGCTGGAGTCCACCCTGGTGCATATGGGCATCAGGGCTGCCCTCCTGGAGCTCGTCCTCGGCTTCTACTTCTTCCCGGCGGCGTAAATCTTGGAGGCTGGGGTGCTTCGGTTTTTCTTCTCCGCTGCTTCGGGCATTGCCCAGGGCTGTCCGCCCTCAGGATCGCTCCAGGCCATCGGCGTGAGCCTGTTCGTGAAGCATCTCGAGAGCATCATCAGCATGTCCGAGCTCTGCGCGCTCGGGGTGTGCGCGGATGACATCGGCGTCGTCATCAACGACGGGCGGATGCTTCTGCGTCTATGGCGTGTCTTCCGCGCCGCTGATACTTATGCCGGTTGGTGTCCCCTTTAGTGCCGAAGTTGGTCGAGAGATGAAGTCCTGGTTAGCTGCTCATATGCCGTCTTGGCAAGCGATGACGATATCTGATCGAGGGGAGCACCTTGGCACGATGGCGGGGCCTGCCGTGACGCTCAATGGCGTCTGGAAGTCTGCTGGCGGCAAGCGGCTGCATCGCGTGCTTGAGCTTGCTGCCGTCGACGGACCTGTCCGCATCACCATGCATCTGTCCAACGCACGAGTCATGCCTACCCTAGGATACTTGGCCCAGCTCTTCCCCGTCCTACGTGCGATCAGGTGCCGCGAGGAGTGGGCCATGGCCAAGCTGTGGCGCCTGCCGCCGCAGAGCCTCGCAAGGGCGGACTTCCTGGGCCGTGCGACCTGATCGACGCTGAAACTGTTTTCTGTCAGTTTATACTCGGCAGTCTCAATGATGCGAGCGGCCGGTGGCACTGTCTCCAATTGGCGCGAACTGTTCGAGTTCCTCGAGCAAGAGACCAGGGGCCAGGGCACCCTCGCTTAGATCGGTAAGTGCTGGCGCAGCCCGGGGTTCTGGCACGCCATCCCGATGGCGTTGCGCCTGCGCCAGGCTGCGAACGACTTCGTCGACGGCAACGACCTCGGCATCTCGAAGTCGACGGAGGCCAGGCGTGCTGATCGTGCCGCGCTCCGTGCAACCAAGGCTGGAGATGGTACCTCTCCTCTGAGGCGTGTGAAAACCCAGCGCGTGCTCACCCTCTCCCTCCGTCCTAAGTTCAGAGCTTGGAAGCTGTCCCTTGTAGGCCTTGCTGAGTGGAGCGCCCTCCGAGACCTTTTAGCCTCTGGGGCCCCGCCAAGCTGGCAATCCGCTGCGATGAAGATAATGTGCGGGGGGTGGCTCACCAGCAGCAGGCTTCGCGCGCAGGGAGGCCCCCGGCGTTGTTTTTGCAGATGTGATGCTTGCCGCCTGCCTCCGCGCGCCATGGGCCAGTTTTCCCATTCTGTTCGGTGCCCTGCTCTGTGGGGCATTGTATATCACCCATCGGTGCCGATCCCAGGGTTCGCGGCGAGACGGATTCGCTTGCGCGGCGAGCCATCTCCAGAAGATGTAGAGCGCATTGTATTGGCGTACCATTAGTACAGCGTTGTCCGTGCCCAGCCGTGGCCTGCGGAATCCCAGGACCACGATCAACGCATGTACAATGTACGGCGCGCAGCTCAGCCCTCGTGGACGTATCCAGAGCTCCGTTCTAGCTGTGCGCCCTCACCTTCACATAGTGCGCGCCCTGTTGCGCGTTGTGCACGATATCTGCGCTGCCGCGGTGGCTGCCGCCTCGCGCCAGTGCTGCGGGGCGGGGTGGGGTGGGGTGGGGTGGGGTGGGGTGGGGTGGGGTGGTGGGGTGGGGTGGGGTGGGGTGGGGTGGGGTGGGGTGGTGTGTGTGTGCGTGTGTGTGTGTGTGTGTGTGTGTGTGTGTGTGTGTGTGTGTGTGTGTGTGTGTGTGTGTGTGTGTGTGTGGGGGGCCTTGGTTACGAGCGATCTATATGTGTGTGTGTATATATATATATGGGCGCTGGCGCATCCCCCCCTGCTGAAATCGATGGTTGTTTTGTTCAACGAAATTGGCGATATTAGATGATGTCAGCCAAAGCAATGCCCCGCACCCCGTCTAGACCGCCGCGGTCCTAGTCAGGGCAGTCTGTTCTGCCGCGGGCCCCCGTTGGCATGCGAGAGGCCCTCGAACATGCTCTCAACGGTGTCGCCCGCGTTCACGTGGAACGCGTACTCCTCTATCCCCAGCGCGCCCAGCTGCAGCTGGCCGTAGCGCTGGCGGTCCCACCCTGTCAGCCGAGAGTTTTCAGACTCGGCGTCGTTGGCGCGGAAGCCAGCGGCGGGGTCGCGGCAGTTCTTCTCGTGAGCGACGGGCGGGGCGCTCGTGTAGCCCAGGGCCTTCGCGGCAGCGGTGGTGGACGTCCAGCCGTCTTGGACCAGGAAAGTGCCCTTCTTTACCTTCTCCTCCAACGTGACCTTGATCCCCCCCAGTCCACGCGGCGCGCCGCCCTGCGCATCTGCCACCCGCAGACGAAGTCGATCGGCAATCATCTTGTTCTTCTTCTCGTGAGCGCACGCGGTCTTCCCGAGCCCGACCCGGGTCGCCAGCCACAGCCACCGCCCAGCATTCTTCAGGTTTGCCGCGGGCTTCTTCGCCGTCCTCGCAGCCGCCTTCTTCGTGGCTGGTGCCCGCTTCGCGGTGCCCTTCCTCGTCTTCAAGTAATTCGAGTCGCGCTTCGTTGGCTCCTGGTTGCGGTGTATCGTGCGCGCAGGCTGCCGCTTCAGGGCGCCCATCGTCGGGAGCTTGCGAGTTGCGCGTTGGGTCCTGCGGGGCGCTTGGCGGCGCTGCCTGGCGCCCCGCTTTGATGTGCCCTAAGATTCGACGGCCCGCCCGTCCTCCTTGCGCACGCCGGTAACAGTCTCGTCGACGACTGCCGTCTGTTCGGCCCGCCGATCGCGCGGTCGCCCAGGGAGACCGCGCCCTTCCCCAGCGTCTCCTGGTAGAGCCCCCGCCATGCCAGGAGCGCGAACCTGGCGTAGTTCCCGCGGCCTGCCTCGATCTCAGCCTCGATGTCTTTGCGGGGCCGCCCCAGGCGGAGCAAGTTCACGACGCGCAGGATCGGCGCCCACGAGTTCCCCCGCGCGCCTTTGAGCCAGCTGCACCCCCATGTGCTCGTGCCCAACCATGGCGCAGGCCCAACCGTAAGTGGTTCATCCGCAGTTCGCGCGGCGCTCCATCTTGGTGGGGACAGAGCACTGGGGGCACTTGTCGTGCGTGCGCGCCGCGCCGAAACGCCTCGATACAGCGGCGGTTCTGATCGCCGGCGCGTCGGGAATCCCCTTGGGCATGATGAGCGGCCCAGTGACGACGAAGGCAGTGCGCGAGGAGAGCCGTGGGGGGCATAGCTTGCGCTGCCACTCTTGGAGCGCCATGGGCTGCAAGGGGGCGCCGAAGTGGCCTGGGGTCCTGGCTGACCTCGGCATTGCTCGGGGGCGCGTGCTGCGGGGCGAGCTTCGTTGGCGCGGGCGGCGAGACCTCGAGCCCGAGCGGAGGCTACACGGCAATGCCAGCATCGCTGAACACTGGCGGCTAGAACGCATGCCGCGCGTGACAACGACGACGAAAATGTTTCAGTCGGTCGGAAGAGTGAAAGACAGCGTTGACACAAACATATGATTACAGGCCTGTGCCCCCAGCTCATCTGGGACACAACGGCGCGCGCAACCCCGGCTACGCGCGCCGCGTCCGCGTCCGAGCTGAGAGCGCCTTCGCTGCCAGAGGACCCACGAGTCGCTTGCCCAGGCAGCCTCGTCGGGGGGCGCCGCCGACGGCCCCGGGGCCCGCCGCTCGTCCTGCTCAATCATGCGCCCGAGCTCGGCCTCCAGGCCATCGTCGTCGCCGATGGTGATCGACTCCCCGTGCACCGACGCGTCGATGGAAGCGAATGTCGCCTTTTGCTCATCGGTGTCAATGGGGGAAAGCGGGGTACGTGCCGCATCCCACCATGAGTTTCCTCGACTTCTTCACTGGCGGTGGCGATGACAAGTCCTCGAAGGCGCCGTGGTGCACCTTGGCGAGGCTCTTGAGAGTTTCGACCTGCTCGTCGTGGCCCTCCTTTGTCAATTCCCCACAACGCCCCGCGATGGGGGGCTGCGCGACGCCCGGGGCAGGGGCGCTCTCTTCTGGCCCGTCCACCCCGCCGCCGGAATTGAACGCGCCCTCCTCCTGGGGCGGCTCGCCGAAGCGCCCGCCCATGCCGCCTTCGGAATTGATCTCGCCATCGCCCTGATCGGCTGGCGCGCGCGCCGCGCCATCGGGGCGAGGCGCCGAAGCGGCCGCGGAGGCGGGCGGGGCGCTTGCCGTGCCTGACTCGAACCGCGAAATGTTGCCGACAACGGAGGCCGTGCGTCCAGGGCCATCGCCAAACATAAGGGCAATGCGGACAGTCGCAGCCGTGGGCGCGTCAAGGCCCTCCACCAGATTGCCCATGTAGCCTATGGACCAAGCCATCTTCTCGGCGTAGTCTGAAGGAAGCGGGCGGACAGCTGGTGATGGCGTGTCCCGCGCCTCGCTGGTGAAGGGGTCGGGGCTCCTCGGGTTGGGCCACGGCGTGAACTCCGCGCCGCCCTCCAGGTTGGCGGACGCCGTGCGCCAATGCACCCCGATGCCCGCGACAACGGTGACGTGCGACCTGGCGAGGATGGCATTGGAGTCATTCTCGGTCTTCACTTCCTCCAGTGACGGTGCGATGATGCGCTTGAACTGGTCCAATTTGTACTTGTTGCGCGTCGCTGCGTGCAGCGCCGCCTTCTCCGCGTCGCGGTCGCAAGAGTTCGCAGCGGCTTGCCCGATCGACCCATGCGCAAAATCGCAGCCGCCTCACCGATTCCACAGCGGTGCATCCTCCTCCTGGGGGTTCAGGAAAGCCTCGAGCACGTCAGCAGATCCCTTCAGTCGGCCAGGCGCAAGCACGACCATCGCCACCCTCGCGATTTCCCATTGGGAGGGCGCTGCGGAGAAAGGAATCGCAATATCCCTTGAAGCCGCGGGCGGTAATGGTAGGGGTCACACGTGGCCGCCGAAACTTCAGGAGGCCGTCGTCGAAAATCCCAGCGAGGACGTCCGTCGCTGGCTCGCATTTAAAGAAGTCCATATGCTTCACCGCGAGGAAAGCGACTTCGTCGTCGGAGCCCTTCTTCTGGGTGCTGTACGCCGAGTGAGTTCATGCCGACGTCTGCGAACCGTTGCTCTTGCCAGCCCTGAGCTCCCCGATCCACATCACCCCGTGCATGCGGAGCGTGCCATTCATCGGGCTGATGATGCCGTTGAGGAACCAGCCAGCACAGTCCTTCACCGTCAAAGTCCAACGTGTGATCGGCTTGGCATTCGTCCTGCCCGTCTGGCGGTTGCGCATCGCGGTCTCCGCCTCGGCGGCAGGCCAACCGAATATTTTCGACCCCTCTCGGTTTACTTCTGTGCCGGCCCATTCCACGAATTGATTCTGGTTGTTGCTGCGGGGGCCGTGGTCGCGGATGGACGTTTGGCCCTGCTCGCGCTCGTCCGCCTCTAGCGGTTGCTTGCGCTCGTGCATCGGCTTGATCGCGAAGTACCTTGCGGTGGGGGCTTTGGAGAAGGGCGCCTCGAGTGAGGAGACCAGGGCGTCGCGGCCGACGGGCGCCACGTCTCGAAGCAGGGAGGAGTGCGCCAGACATGACAACCAGGAGGGCGACCCGTATCTAAGCACCCCCACCGTATGTGATAGCCCTCAAGCTTTTCCGACATGAGCCGGGAAGCAGTCGCTCCCGCCCTGAAGTTCTTACTGTAGTCGATCTTGTGGGCCTCCTCGCGAGCGCAGCTCAGGGCGTTTGCGGCGTCGACCCTGTTTTTGTCGAAACTGACCATCTTCGGGACGCGGCAGGTCGAACATTAGCTGTCCTCGGGGTTCTGACGCATGATGAGCGGCTGCGTCGTGTGCGGTACGACAGGCTCCTTTATGAGGGGCAGAGGGGGCTGCGACTCCTTGCGCCGACCATGGCCTCGCAGCTCGTGGACCTTCTCGAAGTCAATGGAGCCCTCGTAGTTGGACGCGACGTCAACGAAGGCAACCAGCCGCGTAGAGCTCGAGCGTGAGATCGGCGCCAGTGGAAGGTCGGCAATGGTGAAATCCCCAGCGAAGGACAGCCAAGAACAGCCTGTCCTCCTTGGCGCACTTTGCGGGGTGGTAGTCCAATTTGCTTCCGCTCACCATCGGGCTCGCCTCCTCGAAGGTCAGCTTCCCGTCCCGAAGTGGGCACTGCTCTGAAGTGGGCACTGATCTGCAGGGGCGCTTGCCGTGGCGGGCGAAGCGAGAATGGCGGCGCGGGCGGTGGCCTGGGCGGGCAGGCGAGGCCGCGCGCGCGCAGCTTGCTGCCGGCGTGGTTCGAGTTAAGCTTACTGGCAAGAGGTGAGTGGTAATAGTCGTAGCGGTGGTGGTGGTGGTGGTGGCTCGTTCCTAGTTGCCCTGGTGGTGGCACGAATTGGAGGAGGGCGAAGCCTTTCGGATATTCGGATATCTGCACCTGCCCAACGTCTTCATATTTCTTGTTCGTGCAGGGCCGCTCAGTGGCCGTCCTTGGCGCAGGCATCCAGCAGGCGCGTTCGCGTGCATCCTGCTGGCCGGGGTGTCACGCCCATGCGCTGCCAGTGCAAGGCTGCCTGGCCATTCGTGGGGTCAGGGCAGTCTGCTGAGCCGTTCAGTGGCCTTTGTTGGCGCAGGCATCCAGCAGGCGCGTTCGCGCGCGTCCTGTCTGGCCGGGGAGTCACGCCCCCGCGCTGCCAGTGTGCGAGTGCCTTGCCATTCAGGGGCCTGGGCAACTTGGGCCGCTCAGTGGCCGTTTTCGGGCGCAGGCAACCAACGGCGCGTTCAGTGCGTTCGTTGGTCGGGGAGTCGCGCCCCCGCGCTGCCAGTTGATTTGCATAGTACATGTGTTCGGTCTTCAGCTGCCCATGGCTGCTTCAGCTTGCCGTCGCGTCTCGCTCAGGTTGAGACAACGCACTGGGGGGCGACATGCCCTGCAATGGCTTCTGTCGCCCCGGACATGTTCGGAGAGGAGGCGGCCACCAACTGGTTCAAGACAGCCATCCTTCCGAACGGGCCCCTTGCAGAGACGTTTCAGACCGCCGTCAAGGAGGGGGTCCGCGAATGCATCCAGTCAATGCTTTCGGATCTCGAGTCGCCCCTCAGCACGGCGCTTTCTGCCGCCAGCCTGTTCGTGGAACTCAGGGCCGCGGAGCAGAACGACAGCATTCAGGCTGTCTCCGAAGCAGTTGCCTCCCTCACGAAGGAAGAGACAGACCTTGACGATAAGTTTCCTTGGCGCAAGTATCTCAGGGACTGCGACCCCACAGAGATCGCCCTGGGGTGGCGCAAGTTGAACATCGACAAGGATTGGCTGCAAAACGCGGCAGAGCTCATGGCCGACCCCGCAGTGGCCAACACCATGGCCGCAGTGTGCAGCAACCCGGATAGTCCCGAGGCCCAACAGTTGAAAAGCGCGGTCATGTCAAAGAATGCGCCAAAGACGTCATGGAAAGCACTTTGCCTTTCTTCCCACGGCGGCAACCCCGACAAGTTCCGTTCATTCATGTCCGACAAAGCCGCCGCGACCGACAGGGCCGTGGCCGCTCTGGCGCGCAAGTGCCTGCACTTGTTCCTGGTCCTCGAGAGTCAGACGGTGAACCCGGCCACGTCGAAGGCGACGTCGCCTGGGAAGATGAAGGCGCAGAGGGGCGAGATCATGCCGCTCTTATTCGCCATGACCAAGTCGATCAAGCGCCGCGCCAAGAAGGCCAGCGCGAGGGCGCCCTTGGACTTGGCCGTCCTCAAGTCGGACTTCCTGCTGGATTGGAACATCGGCTTGTCCCGTCTGGCGGCTGCGCCCTTCATCCTGGCGCCCGCAGGCCCGCCTCTCACTGCCATCGTTCCGGCGCTCGCAGGGGGGCCCTCTGGCGGGCCAGCGCACAAGAGGTTCCGCGCGGCGGAGGGCAGTGCGCCGAATCGCCCGGCCGCGGCCAGCAGCGGCCCCGGCGGCTTCCCGGGCGAGCAGAGGGGCCAGGGAAAAGGACAGGCCCAGCAGGGCAGGAACACCGAGAAGTCGCAGGCCATGAACGCCATGCTCTCGGAACTGTCTGGCATGATGGGGCGCCAGACCCCCACTGCCGTGCAGCAGTACATAGACACGAAATTCCAGGGCAATGAATCCGAGCGCAAGGCCATTGGCACCATCATGAATACGTACTGCCGCCACTGCCTGCGCAATTCGCGCGCAGTGGTGAAGCATTCTTTGGCTGCTTGCAAAGCTCTGGGCAACCAGCCCAGCACGCCGTGCCCGAAGCGCGCGCGCCTCGGCGTCACTGCATACCATTGGCCGGACAAGTGCACTAATTAGGGTAGATTAGGGCATGTCCCACCATCGGGGGAGGGAAATCAGGATAGGGGGCGAGAGGAGGTACGGGGACTCTGCCGTCATTGCCGCCGGTCCTGTTCAGCGCCCCCGTGGCTCTGTCGAGTCTCGCTTGGCTTCTCTCAGTGCATGTGTAAGCCACTGCAGCGCGGGCGATTCGTGGGCAGTGCGCGGGCGAGCGGCGTCGGTGCAGAAGCCGCTCCTCGCAGCGCAATGTATCATGTAAGCCGTTGCTCTCGCGCAGTCTGACGTGAGGCTCACATCGTGTTTTGTCCAAAAAGTTTATCTTCGTACCACTGTTCCATCGTCGCCCTTCGCCCTCTCCGCCCCGTTCGCCTCTCCCCCCTCCCTCCCCCTACTGTCCAGCCCCCGCCTACCGGGGATAATAGTCGAGCCCAACAACGGGGACTCCCACGTCTGTCGCTCTGGCGGGGTCTCCACGAGAAGGGAAGAAAACCGCCGGGGAGGAAAGGAGGAGGGAAGTTGGACGGCGAGGAGCTGGAGGACGAGGGGGGGAGGAGGATGAGGAGATCTGGCCGCGGTCGCCGGCGCTGGGTCTCGCCCCGGTCCAACTCCGGATGCTGTTGCGCGGGCAACGGAGGCCGGCGGAAATAAGGTGGCAAATTCTCTTCCTTTGGCCTTCCTCTTTCGTTCCCTCCTCTCTGGCTCCCTGTCCCTTCTCCCCCCCTCGCCCCCTGTGTTTCCCCTCCCTGCCCGCCCCCATCTCGCATCCAGCTGCCTGCGGCAGCTCCCGCCGCCGTGCCTGTCCAGCGCGCTCGGTCGGGATTGTATGACGAGTCGCCGGAGGTCGCGCCAGTGATGCCCCGTATCCCCGGGCCTTGGAGAGCCATATCTGCATCGCTTGACCCCGTTGTTCGGGCCCCGGGACACCTTCCGAAAAGTCTTTCGACCCTTGCGTCGAAATGCGGAGTTGCTTCTCGGCCAGGCGTGTGCGGCACCCGGCGCTTCGGGCTGCAGCCGGCCGTATATTTCGGGCCCGGGGATTCTGTGCCTAAATTTCCGACGCTTGCCCCAGAGCTTGTTTTCGAGGCTTGCGTGACTTGCGCAAGCGCCCGCCCCCGCTCGACTGGAGCAGCGCTCCAGGGCCCTAGTTACCCCATCTCCGTCAGACTCGGGCGCCTCGCCGGATTTCGAACCCGGGAGATGGCCGGAAGTCGAATTCCATTGAGCACTTCACGTCCGGAGTCGGGCTCCGAGGTCCCATCCAAAACCTCCCGACTTGGCCTCGAGCCACATTTCGGGCTCCGGGATCCCATCCAACGTTTTTGAAATTTCGTGCGCTCAAGTGCCATAGTCATTCCGGGGATTCACGAATCGGCAAATCCCAAATTCCTTAGGGCCGGGATTTACATATTGTTGGTCGGGTCCCCGTGTCCAGGTTCTGGTTTTCGGGCCCGGGGTACTTGCTAAAGTTCTGTTCGAACGTCAAACGTCGACATTCCTTGGGCTCCAGTGTCCAACATGCGCCCCTAAAGTGCTGGAGGGGCCCCAGCCCAAAGAAGATTACTGCGCGTCGTCCTTCAAGCGCCGGGGCTAAAGTTTCGAGCCCCAGGACCCCGTCGAGTCAGCGGGGAAGCACGCGTCCAATTGTCAGGATGCTTTCCCCGAGCCTCCGCCCCACTCGCGCGCGGCCATTCGGAGCCATTTCGGCCAGCAGGGATGTATTTAGTACAACGCCCGCTGCCCACAGCAGATGGCCCGTCCAACCCAGCGCCATGGGGCATGGCTTTAGTTTCAGCCCCCTTGGGTCCGGCTCCTGTGCCCAGACGAGCTGCCTGGAGCCAGCCTTCATCGCATTCTTCCCTGAGGCTTTCAGCGGCCCTTCCGGAAACGGCACCTCTCAGCGTGGGCGAGCGTCCAAAGCTACTCAGTTTCGCCCCGGCCTCGTGCCCTTTGCCGCCAACAGCATCGGCAACGGCGACCTCTGCGAGGGCTGAGTTGAATGAGCGAGCCCACAGCATCTTGGAACAAGGCTGGGAAGAATCTACCCGGCAAGCGCATGCAAAATCGTTGCGCCTACACGTCCACGGCACGGAGAAGCTCGTAGACAGCAAGTTGTTGCCGATAGACTCCCCTGAGAAATTCATGGTGTTGTTTGCCACGATGGACGGAATGAGCTTGCACAGGATACAGAACAATAAGTGCGCGGTCAAAGCGTGGCATTCCTGTCACAATCTCAGCAGCATCTTCGACAACTGTTGGGATGACAGAACCCTCCAGTTTTGGAGGGGGCTCAAAAAACGAGCAAACCACACTTCCTACCGAAAAAGAGCGATCTCCCTAGCAGAGCTGTCGGCCTTTGTAGCCAGCCGTCGGGAGCAAGGCACTCCAGCCGGCACTCGTGACGCAGCTATTGCCGTTTTCACGTTCTTTGGTATCCGCCGCGTCTCGGAGGCCATTTCCTTCTGCGTGTCTGATGTAAGAGTGGAAGACGGCTGC